TAGGGCGCGGTCGGTCGGTATCCAAAAAACGAGATACTTTCACTCACTCCGACCAAAGCAGCTAAACTTCGAGCTGCCCGTCTAGCAAGTGCAGTCAGCAAAAGAAACGGTTCTGCATCAGGCAGCTGGCTCGAGCGCACACAACGCCTAGAAATTTTTAGGTCTCAACTCGAAACTCGCCGATCTCAGAAGCGACTATTTTACTCTAGTTTGAGTACTGACAGCTCCCATCGAATCTCGTTCAGCTGACTGAGAATCTGACCATGACCCGCCTCGGTCGCGCATGAGACACAGATTCCATCGGCGCCGATTCCAGAAACCTCGGTCGCTCCCACAGTCGAGTCCCGAATCCTGAGCGCATACACCGTGGTTGCCATCGGTCGCCCTGATCACTCCGACCCTTCGTTGATCGATTGAGTTTTTAAAATTAGCCGCCATACATTAAAAAAATCGACAGAAAGTAATCGATCAACAAGAACGGTACCTCGCGTGGTAGATTCGAACGAGCACAGAGCAATTGGAGGCATCAGATGTTCATCAGACTACATTGGTCAAGCAATGAAGCCGAATGAAATCCGAGCCCGGCGTGAAACCCAGATTCCGTTCTGACTATCGATGCGAAGCCTTCATGATCAAAATTTCAGAAGAGGCGTAGAGACAAAAGCTTGTCTGCCAACGGATGATGACAAGCGTTCTGGGGTAGGGCTAGACCCCAACAACGATCCACTCAGGAACGTTTACAATTTTGTCGAGAACCTAGAATAGAAGTTTGGACGTGTTCCCCGTACAATGGAAGAATGAATTTCGCTTCATCCTCCGAGAAGGATATATGGCCGCTGACTCTTGCCGCAGCCCATAGAATCCGGGAGGCCTCCGAAAAAAAGACTTAAGCACACGGAGCGTTTTTCCGACCGCGAAGCGTTTTTCAACGGTTCACACACTCCTTCTCTCTCAGACGCCCTCAAGTATTCGAACGAGCGTAGCGCTGGATCTCAAAACATGTTTCTCCAACGTCTCGAATCGGATCCGGTGCACGTGTTTTTCTTCTGTGAACGGCTTCGATCGAAAGCCACTCTGATTACCTAAATCACAGCTAATAATTCAGTGCGACACAAATGTTTCAAACAAGAGGTCCCGGTCGGTGCCGTTCACGGCGACAATCGTCGAGTCGTGCTGATCCGTGAGAATGATTCGAGAGACTCGAATCGAACCCGAGTTTCCAATTTCAGCGCCGCTTCTGCATGCCAGTTGTTTTCCTCGGATTTTATATTCTCTCAAGACGAGAGGATCGAGGGAGCTTCCAGATTCATGGGCTCTTGTTTCTTCGACAGAACATGTCTGATTAATTTGGATACCTCGTCGTAAGTCACCCCGACCCGACACATCGTGGGCTGTAGTCGCTGTTCGTACTCTTGGGTTTTATGGCCGGCGGAGTCCTCGGAAAAGCCGTGGAGAAACTCGGGAATCGATCTCGGGAAGAATAAATTCTGTCGATTTCCTTACGCGCACCTCAACGCACAGAAAACTGAATAGTCAGAATTTCCTCACTCGGAGCCTGCTGTCGAGCATCCGCGGCGCCGGGGCCACTAAGGTGAGAAGCTTGGCCGATTGGAAGGGGCGAGGATTGCGGCTCGATGGGCCTTCCGATCGTCAGAAGATCCTGGCCTGCTGCGGAGCTCCAGACGGGGAGCTCGACCTAGAATGCTCACGAAGTTTCCGCCGGGTGGACCGGAGAATTCGGCTCCAAACCGTTTTCGGTACGCTCCATGGGGTTCACGGGCTCTTGCAAAACTACTGGTTGCGAAAAGAGTTCATTGGAGAATACATTCCGCGAGGTGACGAGAAGACTGGGAGCGCGGGCTCACAAGGGATTCTATCATCACGGATGAGCCGGAGCAGAATGCTCGCAAATGGAGCACGACTCACGCGACGCGAACACGAACCTCTCAACCCGCGGACTGGTCAGTCGGCGAGATGCTCGGATCACGCACGATTCCGAGGGAGATACACTTGGAATCATTCAAAAATAAACTTCTTTTTCGAGATCATCTCCTTCGTCGTTCGTTCGGGGAGCACTGCAGGGAGATGGCGGTAAACCTCGAAGAGTGTTTAGGGCTATGGCCCGAGGCTCAATGACGAAACTCGCGAACGCGGTCAATGCTTCTGAGGAGAGACCTGAGGTCCCTCGTGGCTCCGTCCGTCACGCTGCCGTCTCCTTTTCCGGAAGTAGATCCTAGGGAGGGCTCGAGTCCTGGGGTTTTGGAACGAGTTTCTGATGCTCCACCATGGTGCAGATAGTTCATTAGGGCTTCGTTTGCTAACCGGTAGTCAGCCAGAGCACCGTGCAATCACACGCAGGGACCGAAGCCACGCCAGGTCTATTTCGGGATCGTCCGATGTACAGTCGGAAGGTGTTGTCTTTGGGGTAGAGAAGGGGCTCCACGGGATCGGGATAGGCCTTCCCGTGTGCCCTCGCAGTGGGCCAGTTTCATTTTGATCTTCTAATTTTAGAATGAGGGAATGAGCTCCACTCGAGCTGCGAGCGAGAATCGCTCAAACCTCGCCATACTCGCGAGACTTCAAAGGGGCACCAAGCGAAAACTCTGACAAGCCCAGGCACGGGACACGTGGCGAACGCTCGATGCAGAGCGTCAGGATCAGCGAAGATTCCGCCCCTGACTCGTTCGAGGCTTTCTCTCGGATGAGGAAGCGCCGAAAATCGTTCGGACGTCGCAGGATCTTCCCGACGCTTCACAGAACGATGAAGTGATTCTCGAGCTTTGAATGACTTTCGAGAAGCGAACGCGAAGTATCGTATATTGATGATATTCCAAATGGCCACGCATTAATTTCCGATGTTCCGAATATTTTCTGATTTCAATGTCCATCAATCGAGGAATCACTTTCGGTCCTCTCTGACTAAGCAGTCTCGAAACAGGGAAGCTTGTCCGGAGCCGTGGGGGGAAGTTTGTCTAAGGTATATGAGACAGGAAATTCTGAGCTAGGAAACGATTTTGCAGCATAGCGGGGGAGACGCCTGCTCCAGGTAAGCCGCCCCTGAGTTCTCATTCCCTCCTCGAGGCTTGGGAATCACTGGGAAGCTGACGGATTTACCCAATAATTTCCGTCCGGTCACGAATATCGGATCCCTTTCTCGAATCTCCTGAATTTAGTCGCGTATTGAAATACCGCGCGTTCTATCCGCGGTACACATGGCACTATCGTCTCGTCTCAATGACTTGTGAGCTAAATGTAAGCGGATGGGACGAGGTTCGCGCACCTCTCGGGTAAGTCAGGAACCAAGTCGAGCCCCCAAGAATGCATCCAAAAGCTCTTCGAAGCGGCCTGCAATACGGTCGCGATTGAATGACTTTCGCAGCCCTTCGATGAGAATTTCGTTCCGGATCTCGGTGCCATTCCACGAATCTAGCGCAGGAATCGGAATAGTCTTCAATAGAGCTTTGGGGGCAAGTCGGTTTGGAAAGACTTCCATGAGAAAATCCTCCTCATAGCTTCCCCCTGGAAGTGGACCCTGGAATACATCAACA